TGTTGCACTGATTTTGAGCTCTCCGATTGATGCTTCTTTCTGAAACTTGCCTTTCATGGAGTCGTTGATCTGGAACCACAATGGCAGGCCAGAGGCGTGGCATTTCCTCGCCGCGGTGTCCTTCGCCTTTGGTTTCGTTGGCGCCAGGTTCATACTTGACAGGTTTATCTTTCGAGTAAGCTTTTCTTCTCTTTCCTTTTATGTCTTCTTTTCTTCTTCTTCTTCTTCTTCTTCTTCTTCTTCTTCTTCTTCGCATAATTGCATTGAAGATTTTATGATCAATTAGCTTCATTTTTCTCTGTTGCTTTGCAGTTTCTTTTGTTTATTTTTAGTCCTCTAGCTTTTTATGTGTTAGTTGTATAAACAGAAGATATCTAGGAAAGCGCTTATTACGAATTTAAAGTTGTGGTTAGTACCAAGTATGTCCTGCATTAGAAGTTGTCTTAAAGGTGGTATTTTGGAACAAACCTTTTGTCAAGTTGAACTAGGCAGTGGTTATGCGAACTGCCTCATGAGGTTGGTTATTGAAATAGATGCTAAGTTTTATAATTTAAAGTAGTTAGTTATTTTTAGAAATGAAGTCCTGATTCTGAAACCAAAGAGAAAGAATAACGTGTAGTTTTATTGACCTTGGTTGAGTAGACGCTATTTGTTTCTTAGAAATGGACAGTGAAAAATAAAGATGGAAAAAGTTAACCTATGTTCCATTTTCTCTTTTTTTGTGCTGTTTGAGAAACTTTAATCTGGGTGTTCTCATGTGTGTGTGTATTGTTAAGCAGAGTAACTCAGCAAAGTACTTGAGTCAGTCATTGGATGTGTCAATCAATAATCTCATAAACAAGATAGAAAGTACAGAAATAAGTTGTAAAGAAAGCAACAAAAAGAGATGGTTCAGAAAAAGATGAGGGTTTTGTAGAATTAACTAAAAGCAAGGTCATTGCGGACATTGGCATTAAATTTGAAAGTTTGCTAGATGCTTAATCTTGCCACTTGCGTGTGGAAGAGTGATCCTATCATATACGCTAGCCGGTTAAAGATAGTAGGATATATTTAATTCCTGTAAAATAGATATTGAATTCCTCTCAAGATGATAAGTTATTATGAAAGCAATAAGAAAAATTACCTTTTGAAAACAGGCAATGTAAGAAATATCACTTTAATTGGATCCCATACAGACAAATAACGACTTGTACTCATGCTTTGTTTCAATTCTCCATAGTTCAATGTTTTTTAGTTCTAGCATTTGGTGATTCTCTTTTTTAAAATTTTGTTGGAGTACGGATTAGGACTTAGGAGATACAGATCATATGTGGCTTTCTGAAGCTTCAAGAAATCACACTAGTTT